CTCAACCACCGCTAAGTAAGTAAGCAATTTCAAAGCCACAATCTCTCTCCTTATGTCCAATCTGAGACCACTCACAAACTTATTAACTTTTAAGGCCTCCGTCTGCACCATCTCTGGCGTAAAGCGAGACAAAGAGGTAAACTCTGTCTCATACTCCGTAACGCTCACCATTTCCTAAATCAGTGCAATGAACCTCCTCCTTAACTCCTTGCTAACTGTTTCTGGAAAGAACTTATTAAGAAATAACTCTTGAAAAGTTTCCCAATCCATTCCCTTAATGACACGAGTAATGGCAATCGACTCACACCAGACACCTGCTACACCTCGGAGATGTGAAATGGCAAGTCTAATCTTCGTGTACCCATCTTCAACCTGTAACATCCTAAATGTCCTCGAGATTTGATTTACCCATTGGATCGCCTTCAAGGAATCTGATTCACCCATAAAAAAATGAGGCTTTGACTCTATGAAGCCAAGCAAAATAGTCCAAGCCCTATCCTTAGTAACATCTCCCGTCAACTCGTACTCGTCATTCACCATGTCTACATTCTACAATAACATAAGAGCGAATGATTAATCACACACATTGAATTAATTACTCAACCCAAACACCAACACCATTCCATGACACCAAAACCACTAAACTGTCAAAACAGACAAAAAGGCTCTTCGCCATGCAAACCTTGCAAAACAAATCCCTTTTACCCAAGGAAGAAGTCCTAAATGACAAAGACGTGTCTAAGAATACTATGGACTCCAAGAGGCAATGCCGTAGCATTAATCTCACCCAACCGAGCATGAACAATGCACAAAATCAAAATGAGATATGCAATAAGTATAAGGATAATAAGATCATACACATCACATAGAAAATTCTTAAGACAATACACTTTACTAAACTACATCTCCTGCTCTCACTACAATCAGGTTAAGCATGTAGAATACATTCATTTATACATATCGGCACACTAAACATTCAGCTTATAACATGGCAACAGAACTACATACTTATACAAGTAGCAAACAATCCACATACGACACATGCTCAGTCACCTAGCAAGTAAATAAAAATCAAAACAAACTGCGTAAGTAGTAACTAGCATGCTCATAACCTAACATAAGGTTGACATACACACTTAACACTTAATCATGCACAACAGCTAGCATACATCATAGATCATGCTTAATACTGTAATGTTTTCGATTTTTATCATTTTCCATTTTCTGGAATTTCCTGATTTTTTTCAAGGGTATTTTCGTCCTTATTTTGTTTTGTGTGCTAGATGCTGTGGGGTGTGCTGGATATATCCGAGTATTTGTTGGGATATTTTCTTGAGTTCATGACTCTTGGAAATGCAATGGTTGCCATTTCGGCATTTTCCCATTCTTCGGGTCGGGAGGTCCCAAGTGGGACACGTTTCCCGAGTTGTTGAGTACGGGGACTATGTTTCGGGTCCATTGAATTTCACACATCATTATTTGATGCATTTTATATGTTTATGTGCTTGTACATGTATTATGGTGGGTTTAGTGTATGTACATTATATATATTAATGTGCTTGTACATATATTGTGGTGGGTTTAGTGTATGTACATTATATATATTGAAGTTAAAAGATAATTTTTTTTTAAAACAAGTGGGACCCACCATTTCAGTAGGCCATCACAAAAGGCCTAATGGTCATATGCAGACCATCAACTATCTCTCTCTACGTGAATCTCTCTCTCTCTCCCTTTTATTTTATTTTATTTTACGAGTACTGGCGATCGACTCCTACCAAATGCTTGTTACACCTCGGAGCTGTGAAATGGCAAGTTTAATCTTCGTGTACCCATCTTCAACCTGTAACATCCTAAATGTCCTCGAGATTTGATTTACCCATTGGATCGCCTTCAAGGAATCTGATTCACCCATAAACACAGGAGGCTTTAACTCTATGAAGCCAAGCAAAACAGTACAAACACTATCCTTAGTAACATCTCCCGTCAACTCGTACTCGTCATTCGCCATGTCTACACTCTACAATAACACAAGAGCGAATGATTAATCACACACATCGAATTAATTACTCAACTCAAACACCAACACCATTTCATGACACCAAAACCACTAAACTGTCAAAACAGACAGAGAGGCTCCTCGCCATGGAAACCTTGCAAAACAAATCCCTTTTACCCAAGGAAGAAGTCCTAAATGATAAAGACGTGTCTAAGAATACTATAGACTCTACGAGGCAATGCCTTAGCATTAATCTCACCCAACCGAGCATGAACAATGCACAAAATCAAAATGAGATACGCAATAAGTATAAGGCTACTAAGATCATACACATCACATAGAAAATTCTTAAGACAATACACTTTACTAAACTACATCTCCTGTTCTCACTACAATCAGGTTAAGCACGTAGAATACATTCATTTATGCATATCGGCACACTAAACATTCAGATTATAACTTGGCAACAGAACTACATACTTATACAAGTAGCAAACAATCCACATACGACACATGCTCAGTCACTTAGCAAGTAGATAAAAATCAAAACAAAATGCGTAAGTAGTAACTAGCATACTCATAACCTAACATAAGGTTGACATATACGCTTAACACTTAATCATGCACAACAGCTAGCATACATCATAGATCTTGCTTAATACTGTAATGTTTTCAATTTTTATCATTTTCTATTTTCTAGAATTTCCTGATTTTTTTCAAGGGTATTTTCGTCCTTGTCTCGTTTTGTGTGCCAGACTTTGTGGGTTGTGCTGGATATGTTCGAGTATTGGTTGGGACATTTTCTTGAGTTTAGGACTCTTGAAAATGCAATGGTTGCCATTTCGGCATTTTTCCGTTTTTCAGGTCGGGAGGTACCAAGTGGGACACGTTTCGAGAGTTGTTGAGTACGGGGACTATGTTTCGGGTCCATTGAATTTCACACATCAATATTTGATGTATTTTATGTGGTTATGTGCTTGTACATGTATAGTGGTGGGTTTAGTGTATGTACATTATATATATTAATATGCTTGTACATGTATTATGGTGGGTTTAGTGTATGTACATTATATATATTAAAGTTAAAAGATAATTTTTTTTTTTTAAAACAAGTGGGACCCACCATTTCATTAGGCCATCACAAAAGGCCTAATGGTTATATGCAGACCATCAGCTATCTCTCTCTGCGTGAATCTCTCTCTCTCTCCCTTTTATTTTATTTTATTTTATTTTTTTTCGTTTATGCCTCATTTTTCTCTTCCATTTTTGGCCAATCGGTTAGGATTTTGGTCTTAGTTCCTTGACGAAAAATGTTCCCCTCATTGTTCTTTATCAGACGGTCAAATGATATAATTTTTAGAAGAGCGGTGATTATTTAACGAATTTTTGAAGTTTTTAGTTCTAAGATTTCGGAGGGAGTTTTGGGCTACTGGGAGTCAGATTTTGGAGGCATGCCTTTGGAACAGTAGAATCTCCTCATCATCAGTTATGTTCCCACAGAACATATTTATGTTCCGCCGCCATTAACCGACGTTGACTTCCGTTGACCGGCATTGACTGCGTTGACCAGCGTGGACCTTTCCGACCGGGGATGCATTTTGGCTACTTTTGAGGTAGGGATGTCTAAACCACTAAGTTTTGACTTTAGTTGAGTTCGTATACTTGAATTCTTTATAAACATGCTTAAAACGATAAATTTCAGAAAAAAAATTGAATGCCAATTATGTGCTGACGTGCTTATGCGACTATATATACTCTAGATGATATTAATTGTGTATGTATATATGTGCTTAGTTGCAAAGTTGTTTAATGAACATGCCTTGCATTGGATTTGTTTCTTGAGATTACATATCTATGATGATGAGTATGTATGGCTAAACTGATAAAGTGCAGGCATGTTTATATCGCTTTCATTCGTGCATGATTCCATTTATGGCATGGGCATGGTTTGGGAAAAGTGAGGTTGAAATGATTCTTTTTAAAGAAATGTGTTTGGAAAGGATTGTGAGGAAATGATTTAGAAATGAACCAGATTTTGTGAGTCCGGGGCTAGCTTGATCTAGAGGGAGCGCGGCCCGGTGTAGGGTATGAAAAATTTGATGCTAGGCCCTTTAACAGTTGCCAGGCTTTTCCAGAATTGAAACCGGGATAGCTATCAATCTCGCTTCAGTAATGTCAGTTAGCAGATTTTTGAAAAGTGAGTGTTGGGTCGGTATAGACCAAGTTTTGGGTGAAATGCATCACACTTCATATCATGTGTATGATTTTGAAGAATTGTGATATGTGACTTCGTGTATTGATTGTTATGTTATAAATGTTGTACGGACTCCAATGACATAACCCCGGCTTCTTTTCTATTCTCGTTCTTTGGTTGTTGGCTCAAATGAGTCCAAAATGGACGTATGACTTGTATCCATGGACTTAGACGTCGCTACCATTCTACTTGTATTTGTGAGTTTTCTGTGATGTTAGTGATATGATATACTATGAGTCTTGGGATGATGTATATATTTTATGCATTGACATAGGAAAGGATAGTAATGCCTTCGATGACCTCGGGTTCGGGTAAGGACCCAGTAAACGATTCGGGCCCCCGAGCTCGGGTTGTTATAAATATGGTATCTGAGCGTTAAGTTCGAATACCTTTCGGACGATGAGTAGTGGCTTGCCTAGAGGGGTAGAACGTTAACCTGTGTTGATTACGTGTTTATGTTTATGTGCTTACTATTTTATGAAGCTTACTTACTTACTACTTGCTTATATGTTTACGGTTTTGAAGGCATGCCTATTTGCTAAGTGCTTAGAGGTTTAAATGTCAGTATATGTAAATGAAGTGTATACGTGATCTGAAAACATGTTAATTAAAATCTGGTGCATGCAAGAAGAGGTGAGAAATATTGTGGAGAAGGCTTGGGAGATTGCTCGGGAAGGTAATCCATTTCATATTCTTTAATAGAAATTAAGGTCTATCAAAACTGCAATTAAAGATTGGAGTAAGAAAATGGGATGTATGTCTGATCAAATCAAGGTTGCAAAGGATAATTTATATAAAATTCAAATGGAAATGCTGCTTCAACCAGTTAACCAAGAGTCTATAAATTCAGAAAGGGAAGCTTCTAGTCATCGACAACATGTGCTTGACATTGAAGAGATTATGTGGGCTCAAAAATCAAGAGTTAAATGGATCAAGGAAAGGGACAGGTGTACAGCTTTTTTCCACAACATTGTCAAACAAAGAAGGGGGCAAAATACTATTACTCAAGTTGAGAATGTGGATGGGGAAGTTTCTTCTGATCCGTCTACCATTAAAGAATGGTTGGTCCAATTTTATTCTAATTTTTATAATCATATAAGGGGGCATATTGCAAGAGGACATGCCTGCTAGGAAAAGCTTATCTCAAGAGGAAAGTTATGTTTTGGATAGTGGTATTTCAGTTGAGGAAATCAAGGGAGTGGTCATGGGATTCAGTTCAGACAAAGCTCCACGACTAGTTGGTTTTCTAGCTAGGTTCTTTCAAAAATATTGGAGTGTGGTTGGGGCTAATGTGTTAAAAGTTGTGCTATTCTTTTTCAACAATAAAAATTTCCTCAAGGTATTAATTCCACATTCCTTGCCCTGATTCCTAAGTTGAATCATGGTGATAAAATTATAAATTATAAACCTATTGCTTTATGCAATTTGGTTTATAAGATCATTGCCAAAATTCTGGCCAATAGATTAAGTGAAGTGTTACCCAATTTAATTGGTCAAGAACAGGTTGCTTTCATTAAAAATAGGAGATTACATGACAATATCTTATTGGTCTCTGACTTAGTGAAGGATTTTGGAAAGAAATTTGGTGAAGCTAACATGACTTTGAAAGTTGATTTAAAGAAGGCTTATGATTCAGTTGAGTGGGTATTCATTTTAAGCAGATTGAAGGCTCATGGATTTAGTAATTAGTGGATCAATTGGATTCAAGCTTGCATTACTACTCCAAAATTTTCTATTATGAGCAATGGTATACCAGGTTATTTTTCTGCTACCAGAGGAATTAGACTGGGTTGCCCATTATCTTCTTTATTATTTGTTTTTGTTACTGAATACTTTAATACATTAATGGATCAATGCATTGATAATGGGAGGATAAAGCTTCGTAAATCAGTGGTTAGTACTGGCTTACAAATTTCTTATGTGTTTTATGTTGATGACCTTTTAATGGTGGTCAAAGCTGAATTACCAACTGCAAAAGCAATTTCAGAAGTTTTCAGAAAATTCAATGAAGTAACTGGTCTACATGTTAGTCAAAAGAAGAGTTCTATTATCTTTTCTAAGACAGTGAGATGCAAAAGAAGATTAGCAGCTATTCTCCAATTTCAAATTGAAAACTTTCTTTTCAAATACCTTGGCCTTCCTCTGTCAAATCATAAATTAAGGACTGGAGACTTCAGTAGTTTGCTGCACAAAGTAAATGCTAGATTAAATCATTGGAATACTTTCAATCTATCTTTGGCTAGAAGGGTGGAATTTATTAAATCAATCCTTTACTCTTACTTGTATCATTGGTTATTTGGTTTCAAAGTTCCTTGGGGGATAAAAAACTAGTTGGAGAAGAGGTTTAAAAAATTTCTCTGAAGTGGCAAATAAGATTTGAAGAAAATGTCTCAATTAAAATGGAGTTCAGTTACTGTTCCTATGGCAGAAGGGGGTTTCAATATCAGAAAAATCAAAGACATTGATCTTGCTGCAAAAGTCACTTTATGTTGGGATTTCCTACAGAAAAAGGATAAATTGTGGATACAATGGCTTCAGGCTATTTATTTAAAAAGGTCTTCATTTTGGAATGTGATTGGAAGGGTTGGAGATTCACCAATTTGGAAGCAAATGCTTGAAGCAAGATAGATTGTGTTAGATAACAATGATTTCAAAATGGGGAATGGTTTGAATTTTAAGTTATTAACTGGTCTTTGGTGTTATAATCAGGCATTGATTCAAAGGTTTGGTGCTACAATGTTCAGACGAATTGATAGAGAAGACACTATGGCTAATTTTATTACAGATGGAAACTGGTGTATTCCTGCACATTACAATGCTGAGGTGAGGAATGGTATTCACAGAATTTCTTTGAATACTGGTAGTGACAGAATATCTTGGCAGTATGGAAGATTTTCTTTAAAATCTGTATGGAATGTGTGTAGAGTCAAAAAGCAGAAAGTTAAATGGAGTCGATTGTGTTGGACTGGTTGCAGACCAAGAGTTTCAGTGGGAGTTAGTATCATACTTTATAATAAAAATTTCTCCTTTGTGAATTTGCAGAAAAGAGGACTTACATTAACAGCTATCTGTCATAATTGTTTTGATAATGCAGACACCAATGATCATCTGTTCTGCAAGTGTGTGCATGCCAAGGAAATTTGGAATAGATTGTTCAACCTGCTTCAGTTACAGTGGCTGAGAGTTAATACTTTAGATGACATTATAAATTGGTTTGTGGTACAAACCAGTGCACACAATACCAAATATAAGTTTATGTGTGCACTTTTTGCTGCTACAATATGGAAGATTTTGATTATGAGAAATTTAACTCTGTATAATGTGTCTAAGGATGATACTGAATATGAGGTTCAAGCTATAGTTTAGGATGTGCTTGCATATCTCAGTGTTACACATTAGGATCAGATAACTATTTTTTCATTATAGTGGAACTCAATTTGTAGTGCTGTGCAATTGGTTATGTGTTCAGTTTAGCCGGTTTATTTGGATTGGATTGACAAGATCTATGCTCCTAGTATGCTTTGTCACAAGAAATTTCAAGTGCAGCAATTAGTCTTCTTAATGGGCTGGAAGTCTGTTTAAATTTTGTTTACTGTGATAGGTTAATTGATTTAGTCCATTATTGTTTTGTTTTATTAGAGGTTTAAATCTCATATTTGTAATTATACAACATGTTATATATATATATATATATAAAGATGACAATGATGAACGGGATGTTTATTTTCACATGATGATTTAATGGACTCGTTGTTTAAATTGATGGGATAGGACACAGTCATGTCAAGGTATATGTTCCGGTTATTATATACATATGTTTACATGTATAAGAGTATATGATCGAACACAAAATGGTTGTTAGTATAGTAGATTACTTGTCGCGGCATAGATGGTTGTGTGGGTTTTAACCTGAGTAGGCAAGGAGCTCGATTGCTCCAAGGTTGTTTGGGTACCGGTTCTTATTAAACAAGTGGCTTGGACTTCTAACTCGTGGATTGAGCTATTCAGTATGTAGTCATTTTGATCTTCTTATTGCATTTTGTGTGGTGCTTCGAGCATGACTCTAGAATGGGTTTGTATTTCATGGTACGATGTCTATGTTGTATGTGAATTTCATGCATCAGCGTATGGGTTCTTGTGACTGTGGAGGTCAGGTGTTCGAGTGAGAGTTTTATGGGAGAAAGGTATGACCTTAGGGGGTTAGTGATTGTGACTTGGGCCACGGTTTGGTGCAGAGGTTCTTTTTTGAACTGGTTGTAGTAGGTGTGACAGAGGTTGCTTGAGTCATAAGTGTAATCTCTGGGTTATAAAGGTGTATTTCGGGTATTCTGGTATGGTCTAAAGACGTGTGTTGATTCTGACTGTCGTGGGGACTTGTTGGACTCTGTAGGTTTAGGGTAACGTTTGACCAATTGAGGGATGTGGATCATTTTGTGGTCTTGTAAGAGTCTGTTTGCAGGGTTACACGATAAGACAGGTAGTATGGGGTCATTGAAGTGCTTGGTCGTTTACGAATGAAGTGATAAATGATGGGTACTGTGTAACCAAATGGATTGTGTTTTAGAATTTAGAAGCTATGGACTGGGGTTATATTTCATTTATGTCTGGGGTATCAGGAGATAGTGTTGGTTGTTTGAGTATCAGAAAAGGTATACTGATGATAAGAATGACTAGGACGAGGGTGATCCTGTAGGTGTAGCTGGTGGCCCCATTTGACTTTTGTTGGGGCCAAGGGTGTTCTGAGGAACAATGAAGAAGAGAGATAATGATGTTGATACTATGGCGTAAGGTTTCTTTGGTTGAGTACGTAAATTATCTTGGGAAGAATGGTTGGAGTAGTCGATTAAGTGTTGGTGACTGATTGTGTTGTAGATGGTTTAAGGAGACAATTGGATGTTAAACATTCTGTCTTTTGTGTTTATTCCTTTTCTTTAGGATCTGTCGGCATAGCATTGTCATGTAAGGGTTCTATCCTAATGGTATGTAGTGGTTGTTGTAGGGAGTATTAAGAGTGAGGCATACTCTCTTGTTGTGATAGTGTTATCATAGGGATGCTTGAGGGGAGATCACTTGGCGGTAGCTTATTGAGTCGGTGAGACGTGAGTTTGAGTTGTCATTCGAGGATGATGGTAGTAGAGGTGTTATGGCGTGATGTTTAGTACTAAAGAGCAGAATGGTTTCAGGTATGATCCGAGGATGGATTAGAGATTGTGAGTTATTTGTTATGCGTTGTCAGGTAGGTGATAGGGTTGTACGCTAATTGAGACGATTGTGGACTGTTTAGCCTTTTAGAGCCAGTGAGAATGATGTTGCCAGATAGGCACCCTTTTCTTTTGGCGAGTCAGTGGGTTATTGTGACTAAGATCATGGGCCTTGTGTACACGGTGATCGAGGCAATATCGTCTGGGAAGGTAGAGATGGAATGAGTGGTAAAGTGTCATTTTATGGCTTAGAGGTTATCATTGGGAGTGACTGATTCTAGGTAGAACGGGATGCGTTGTCAACGTACTGTGATTGTCCCTAGTGTTAGTATGTTGTGAGCATTGGTGCTCTTTTCTAATGGTTGTGCTACGAGCTGTATCCTAGTACTTGACGAATGGGTGGTATGGATCTGATTGGTTTTGACTAGCATAAGTATCGCAGTGTAGCGTATGTGAGGTTCTGGTGTTGATAGTGTATGACGGTCCATTAGTGGCGAGATCGCCTAGATTTTAGTTTATAGCTCCGTACGGGTATCTAGTTGGTTATTCTCCTTGTGTGTAAGGAGTTTAATTCATCTCAGGTGAGATTGGGTATCCAGAGTTGGACAATTGGTGAGCAGCGTGTGACAAGGTGTCAGGTGCATTCAGGTGCAAGTCGTCAGTCTCTTGTGAGAGCGGGGTTCGTTACCCTTTCCATTTGTTCTAGTCCTGATAAGGACGTCGTTTGTCGTAAGTCTTGTTCTCTATTTAGGAGTTATGCGCGTTCGTGGATGGACAGACCTATCTGCGGTTTGTTATGCGGTTAGAGTTCACCGGTAAAGGTTTGGTTGTATTAGTCAACTCACTCCCACAGAGGGAGGTGGAGTCCTAGGTTTTAATAGTGCTTGTTCTGAGAGTGGTCTTGACCGGTGGCGTGTGAGGCATGAGTTGCCGAATATGGATTATGTGTTTCTGGTGTCTAGTACTAGTGGTGATGGATAGGGGATGTGTCGTGAACTGTAAGTTCGAGGATGATTAGGCAATGTGATGTGAGTCATGTACTCGAATGTTTTTATAGACGTTTGATTCAAGCTGTGTCTTGAGGACAAGTGTTGGTGTTGTTTGAGTGCTAAGCAACTAGAGATGTGAATGTGAGGTTCCGTTGAGGAATAATGGGAATGATTAATTTTGGTTTTGAGATCTTAGGCATGAGATAGTTGTATTGTGTGTTTTAATGAGGTGAGAATTGAATCAAATGATATTAGGGAGTTGTTCAAATGGTATGGGTATTATGAAGAAATCGGAGAGGTTTTATGCGAGTCGATGATTGTGGTATTTGGTGTCGTATTACTTTTAGCTTGTTATGGTTGTGTGATTGAAGTATGATTAGGATTTTTAGAGCAGATATGTGATTGTATTGTTGTTGAGGTTACGTAGAGCAATAGATTGATAGTGAGTGGATCTCATGGTTGTCTTGTGGACTATGTGAGATTGTGTTTGAGGTTTGGA